TCTACATGTATTATAAAACATTTATTGATTGAGGCTTGCATGTGTTTGCTAGATTCATCAGGAATCGAATCTATTGAATAAAACACATACGCGTACGATCATTTAACAGCATTCTCGAAATCTAGTTAATTATGTTAATATTTGAAGATTATTTCCATTCCTTTAATTTTTATCTTCTATCGCTATATAATAAAAACGATAACGATAAGCATTAAATTTATAACTAATTGTTTTTGCCAAGATCTCGTCCATTAAGTATACTGTTTTATCAATTAGTTAGAATGGGATTGTTGTCATTGGTTTTCCATTGTGAGATTTCCATATCGGTATATGAAGGAGACATTTTTGTGCTATCTTAAATAAAGTTTTGTGTAGGGGAAAATAATTTATGTAGGGGAAATAATAGTTTTATTCTTTCATTACGTACATATTTTTTTGTTTTTCTAGAATGTATGGTGAATACCATCTAAAGTCATCAAACGTTTATATTTTATAAAATGGATAAATCCGTAAATATGATAGAATATACCGTTTCTGAGTATATTTACGGATTAAATTTTGTATTACTTATTAGTAAAGAAGTTTATCCATTTTATAAAACACAAACGTTTGATTTGCACCATACTTTTCGACCAGTGTAAGATATAGAACATTTATAATAACGGTAAAAATAAAGATACATGTATATGAAATATTCTGCATTATAAAAGTTGTCTCCTTAGAAATGAGTACCACTTGAAACGAAATATTTTTAAGGAATTTAAAATAAAAATTAATGTATAATACATGTATAATATAATAATCAACGCAGTCACATCTAGTTACACCTTCTTATAGTCACCAGATTTCTGTTTCCCGACCCGGTGATTATAACGAGGTACAACTGTATTAGAAACTCGATTGACGAACATTGTACATTTTGAGAGCGTATCAGTTAATGAAACGACGCCATCATCGTTAGCTCGCTAACTTTGTTCAAATAACCGCCGTTTCCATTTTTTTTGGCGTTTCTCCGTAGTTCGGTTTATTTTTGTGCAATCAAAATTCTTGTGAAATATCACAATATGCTTCAATATAACTGTTAGAATCAGTGTTATCTCCTTTTTTGTCAGATAACAAGCAACGAACATCAATTGTCATTTTTCTGATTCTATTTTTCTTTGACCGATGATAAATCATTATATATTGTGTCTATCGCTATTGTAAGTACATGTACTTATTAAATTAGCTGGCCGGTACCAAACTCTCTTATCGTGAATTCCATGTAATCGAAAATAAAAATAATAATATGAAATGTCAATATGACTTATATTTTGGAAATGAAATTACATTTGAGTGGAATTGTTGGTTTTTGTTTGTATTACTAAAAAAGCTGTGCAGTTTCATCTGATATTTGGTGTTACTTGGATCGTCAATGGACTTGATAAAGTCAAAAGTTGGTCTGTTTTCTGGAAATAGGATCCCAATATTATTTGGTATCGTAGGTCGTACTCCGTTATTGATGTCTAATACTAGACTTCGCTCACCGAATGGTCGTTCACCTGTGAAAACCTCGTACATAACCATCCCAAACCTATAAATGTCTGCAACCCTAGTGTATGGCTTTCCATTTAGTACCTCCGCAAATTTCTCAATTAGATTTTTCTATAAGATACTGTATATTATATAAAAATGCACCAATCAGCGACAACTACGTATATGTAAAAAAATTCTTTCTTTTCCTTCATTTCTTTTTTAGTCAACAGTGACACAAAACTATTTACATCAAAATTGGCGCCGGAAAAATTGGACCTTCGAAATTAATATTTTGATGGATTTGTGGAAATCCTGGTGAAATTGGTAGAATATAATAGGATATTTCTTATTTTTAACCCAGATGTGGTTAAACACGGTTTAATAGGTCAATTAAATAACTCAGTTTTACATAAAGGGCTAAATAATCTGTTGTCAAATTACAGTAGTTAGAAGCTTTGAATACTTGATCGCATTTTTTTACAAAAAAATCTTGGTGGAAGTCTCTTAATAGTTTTTTCTCACAAATTCCGGATTCCGAAAGTCACTTTATTTTATTTATATTAAGTATCACATTTGGCATGTGGTTCTTATTTCCTAACCAAGAATTTACTTCATACTCATCATGTTTTGAAACGTATCAGGATCGTTGTCTGATATATACGTATTGGAATTTTTTATTTGAAAACGTTCTATTAATTGATAATCTTATCGTTATCGTTATCGTTATTATTCCAAGTAGTAAATCACAATTCATTGTACATGTTATATCAGAAAATAATCTTGTCGGTGTTTTTTGGTTTAACGCGATTCGCTTGTATTACTTGTTGGTTTCCGCCACCGTTGTTGTAATAAAGATATTTAATATTTTGTCAATTAAAAATAAACACATGAGCGGATTTGATACCATAACTGATTCAACTCCAGTCGAAATTACCAGAATTGAGCCAAATCTAATTGTTATGGGAACAAATCAACCCATAACGACAAAGAAGGTATCTTCTTGTTTTCCTAAAACGAAAAGTCTAAATATAGATGATAAATCAAGAGATATTGTTAGGAGGGGACAATAAATTATTTTCACATGTTAGTATTACGTGTACGTACTGTCAGGTATCAGTCTATAACGATAGTAATCCATAATTAGATCAAATGTCACGTCCTTTAATATGAAGTAATTTATTACAGAAAAAGTTCACTCAAAAGTCTCAAAGCTAAAAAGCATTGAGTGAGAGAAAGTCGCATTTCGACTTTTTACGGGATTTTGATGTTTTATGTTATTCAGAATTATGTGCCTTTTTTCCATCCTTGTGATTGCAACTGTGTCTTCCGTTGACTTTCGTTTACTCGTTCTACATTTTTTGTTATTTGAATCTTTCTCAAAACTTTAATCATACAGTTCGCACGGAAAATAATGGCGGTCAGTTTTTTTCAAAAATAAAAAAATTTTATTAATAATCGCAAAAAAGCAAAACTATTTTCGAAATGCACTTGAGTAGAGTAATGCGCCCACATATAACATTAATATTTAGTATGTCCTCCTTCCGTGTCAATGCAGGCTTGGACGCGATTTTGCATACCGCTGACATTGCTAAAGATCACCTCCTCCGGAAGATTCTCCCACTAACTTCACAAAAACCTCCTGTGACACTTTTTCGCGCAACAATTTTTTTAACCTTTTTTTCAACATTGTGCTTGTGAAATGCCAAATATTTCGATTGATTAAAATCGGGGTTGTATGACGGCCACAGAAGAACGCCGAGCTTCGAGATCATTACAGACGTCATTTGAAGTGTATTTTGGGTCGTTTTCAACAACCATACGATAAGAATTTCCCGATAAAGATGCCGATCCATGTTTTGTGTAATCTGATTTTGCCACGTGTACGAGTGTTTCACAACAGTTTTTCCAAAACGAGATAATTTCAAGGTTGTGTGCCCATTGAAATCGGTTCTCTTTTGTTTGTTGAGTCTCGGCAAAGCAGCAATATAACCGAGCCTATGAAGCTCGTCACGGACAGTTTGCACACCTACTTCGAATCCTGGGTATGTTTCCTCAAGCTGCGCTTTGATTTCAGCTGCCGTAAGAAAATGATTTGAATTTATGACTTGACCGATTTGGCGGCGCATTTCAGGCGAAATTTCTTTATCATTGTGCCAGTTACTTCTTCACAATCTCACTTGGATTTATACGTCGTTTTTGTTTAAGAATGATGTGCAACGTGTGTAATATGTTACACATATTGCACAAGGTTAATTGCGTTTTGGTCTGACGAAAAATTTGTCAGTCAGTGTCACCGCCATTACTAATGATGAACAGTTTGTCACTGCCATTACTTTCCGTGCGGACTGTATATGCGTAAATATTCGTGATGAACAAACAATCATAAAAAATTCGACAGTCTGTCACCGCCATTATTCGTGATGAACACGAACAATCATAAATTATCGTTATTAATGACCGGGATTTCAATTGTAGAACACGAAAAAATTACTTTAAATCAATTAACTGATAAATAAATAAATAAACAATAAGCAAAAATTCAATGGGTCGGGTACGCAAAGAAAGGTGGCGTAAATAAAGTGGCGTAAATAAAGAAAGAAGACAAAGGATGGGTCGCGAGGCCACGACCACTCAAAAAGATCGATAAAGTACATATATCAATTTGTAAGCATCTATATTATTGCGCAGTTTGTAACAAACACACAGCGTCATTTGACAGACAGCTACGATACATGTATAATCGGCTATATAAGAAATGAAATTATCAAGCTTCAATTTCGTCCAAAGAATTAGATTCTTGCTCTTTTTTTTTACATTAAAATGAGCCAACCAACACCAGCACCACCACCAGCACCACCACCAGCACCACCACCTCCTCCACCACCTCCTCCAGTACATGTAAACATTGTTAATGGAACCTCTTTCAATGATCACATAATTATTATTCCAAGTCAGAATGACACTTTAAAGATATTGCTTGAAACTTATAGTATCGGTATATAAGTAAACTCGGCTTACATCGTTGGTTCCTGTCTGTTCTATTCTGTTTTGTTCGACTATATTTTATTTTCTATTCGTGTGTGCATATAGGCCACCTCGTCTTTTAAACTTTATCGTAATGATATATAATTCTTCATTCGAAATTCTCACACGCCATTCGAAATACGTTACTTGCATCGATCATTCCCCAATATTTTTAATTTTCATTTTCTCATTAAATTTAGAAAATCATTAATCTTTTTATACATTCTTTTGAGTATTACATAAACACTTTCCTATGTATTGAAATCAGTTAACTCGAAAGATTTCTAACCCCTTGATTTAAATGGGAAATACAATCGTCAACTACTCTCATCTCTTCTGTACATTTGTTTTGATTATATACCTCTATAAGAATCAATAAGTCATATACAAATTAAGAACTACATCGTAAAATTCATTTTCGAGCGATATTAACATTTTTCGCCAACCACTATTTTCACTTAATGACCAAAAATCTGAATCCTCCGATGAATTCCGAAACTTTCGGAATTAAAGCTCACGTGGCGAAATCCAAAACTTCCGAAATTAAACGGCCATTACGTAACGGTAATGTTAAAGATCCGGAAACAGATATTGGGATTCGCCACATCATTATTTTCGACTTTATGAATTCAATAAAACATATATCAATTAAGGCTTATTTGTTAGATTTTATCTGGTTTAACAGCACAAGCAGTAAAGATTTATTTCTTTTCTTAATCCATCATTTATTTATTCATTTCTTTAAAAAATTGAAATATATCGAATATATCGATATGTTTATTCAACATTAATAATAACGGCTGTTGTATTGCCAAGATCTTCGGAAGTCCGTCCACGTGGGGTGTCATCGATTTTATGTAAGGGGGAAATAATAGTTTTACTCAAGGCATGCTTGTACTGTAATTATACATGTGTCTTGCATTTCAACTACGTAATTGAATTCGTAATCAATTTGCTTACTGCCATTTTGTTCATTATTCCATTATGTATTTCATTTGCCGTGTTTTGTTCTAGAATGTCCTAAGATATAGTATAAGATCGTATAATAAAAAAAATAATTTATAAGAGTTTGAAATAGGGTTTTGTAATTTATCGTCATGGCGATGTACTGCAGGACCCCAGCTTTAATAATAACGGGGACCAAAAATATAAGCTTAAACTTTTTTGAGCATATGCGATAAATTATAATTCTCTTTAAAATAAATAAAAAATTAATGGATAATATACAATAATTAACAAATAATAATACTCGTGAATTTGATATTGCTTTAATTCTATTGTCTAGCGCTAGCGCAGCAAATAAGACATGTACATGTATTAGAAACTCTATTGACGAACTGATTCTCTATTTGCTATTACCATTTTTGGCGAGTTCCATTGAGAGCGTATCAGTTAATGAAACGACGCCGTTTTGCTGGCGTACGTGCATGACAAGTAATGAAGATCGATTGTCATCTTCGGCCGATGATAAAGTATTGTGGCAGATTAAATTCAGATTAAAATGAAATCTATCGCTAGTAGGATATATCGATATAAATAATCAATAACAAAATTTAATACTATAGTCTACTCTGAGTCAATACTTAACCCCTTTTCCATAATTGTCACCAAAAGAAAGACCCAAATTATTTAACCCTTTTTAATAATTATTATTCAAAAAAGGTCACCAGATTTCATTTTAATCTGATTTCGTTTTAATCTGTCAGAATTATTTAATTACTGTCTATTGTCTGCAATATCAACACTGAAGTGAAGTCCATGGCGAATGTTATGATGCACAATCGTGAATTCCATGTAACCTTCCCGATTTACTTTTTCGAAAATAAATACAGTACACGTATAACGATAACGATCCCTTGCACATGTGCATTATTAATAATAGGCTACTACATGTATTATACATGTATTCTGTGTCATTGTGATAAAGAGTGCAAAACGTAACAGTCATCTGCGAAAGTAATGGCGGTGAGATGTCATATAATACTAACATTTTTTATAGAAGCAAAATATATAAATAACAGTGCTATATGTGATGAATCTGCGAAAATCTAATAGGGCCATTTACCCGTTTGCAGGTTTTTAAAATTTTCAAAACTTATTTTCTCGATGTAATTTTGGTCTTATTAAATTCGCCTCACGAACATTTTGGTAATAATTTAATAATTTCATTTTTAATCAAAATAATATTTATCGAATTATTGCAAATTTTAGTTTTTTTTTTTTAGTTAATAACGTTCAAGTTACAAAATTTTAGAACATAAATTATTCGAACTTTCATTGACATGGAAAGATGACACACCAAGTACTGATATTTTAGGGACATAATGCTCTACTCAGAGGCGCTTTTAAAATGATTTTTTAATTTTATTATACAATTAAATTTTTATTATACAATTAAATGAAGTATAATAAAAAACTGACCGCCATTACTTTCACCGGGGACTGTAGTGGGTTTGAGAAATTGTTATTGTTATTGTTGTTTTGTTGAATGATGAATTTAACGTATCAATGAATGAGCCACGTTTTGATTGTAAAATAAACTACTTTAATGCTGGTAATTTATTACACTACTATTGTGAGATTTCATATAAGGTAAAAAAAAAGAGAAAAAGTTATTATATGTTAATAATTAACGAATAAAAAACTGAAAGTAAAACTTTTAAGTCTTCATCTTAGCAAATAAAACGAAAAATACTGTAATTGAAGACTCGATTGAAGCATTTGCTATTTCTTTAGAAAAAGCTATTACTGTTTTTTACACGAGGGAGGTTCCATTTCACAATTTGCAATATTATAATTTCTATTATAATTAAATTGAAAAATCAACAACATAATTATAATTAAATACATATTTTATTAATGATGTGATAAATTTTTATCTCCAGCTATAAAATAAAACATGAACAAAATTTATTTTTGGTATTCTAAGTTCGAAATTTATTATCGTTACGCTAATCGGCAAACAGTTCTTATCGTTATGGTGCATAAAATCTAAAGTCATTAAACGTTTGTATTTTATAAAATGTATAAACTTTTTACTAAGAAGTAAATACAAAATTTAATCTGTGAATATGATAAAATAGACCTTTTATGAATAACAGATACAAATTAAATCTTGATATAATCTGAAAGAATCTATGTTCAAACACATTCATTTAACTTCACGATATAATTGATATTATCTCTGTTGATGCTGAAATATATACCGTAACTCCTTTTTTGAGAGAATCTTCTTCAAAAATATTAGTAGAAAGACTAAATCCAGTTTGATTAATATTTATTTTTTTATACTTTTTTTGATCTCTTTAACTCTTTTTTATCTCTTTTATTCTTTATTTTATCTCTTTATATTCTTTTTGATCTTTTTATATCTCATATAATATTTCTTTTTGACTCTTTTTTATTCTTTTTTATTATAATTAGATAAAATAACAATTTGAAAAATAAATTGCCATTATTATCTTGTATTATTATATTCATATTGCAGTATATACGTACAAAGCTCATTTCATATTAAAATTCTTTGCTTGTTCATATTAGGATGAATGTAAATGTAACACCCCCGTTACATAACTAATTTTGTAACACCCTTGATAAATACGTACATGTATTGATTTTCATGAAACCTCGCCACTTTGGAAATGTAAGTGGCAAATGATAAATTAAATCGTCTGACGAATGACAATTTCCTCAATTTATCGGATTATTTTTTACCAGAGGTATATATTTAAAATTATACACTTTTCATAATGCTAGCAAAAATTCAGCATAATTTTGATCGTTTATGGTCTTCAGCCAATCAAACACATGTAATGATGTACACGTACATTCTTTTACAATTCGGAATATGTATATTTGTACATGTGATTTTAGTTATTATTTGATTGGTCAGAAGGCTTCGTCACAGGTTTCATCAATCATGTGATTAAGTTATTATTTTGATTGGTCAGAAGGTTTCGGGGTTTTGTCTGACGAATAACGTGACGAAATGTTTCGTCATCATGAAAATAGGTTCGTAATCATTAGTGCCAACGCTTGTGACAGCTTTGAGAGCTCAATTATATTAAGCGATTCGCAAATCAGATAAAAATTCCATAACTTAACTTGTATTTACACTAATACCGCCACCCTAAAGTAGCGTCAATGAATACGCATGGACGAATTACGATTAGTGCTAGTGAATTACAGAATTGCACATCTCGGGATTATGCAGAGCAACGACACAGATTTGTGTGGTTCAACGAGGAATCTAATAAAATGAATAAAATGATTTATACCGCGAAATGCCTCGATTAAGATATATTTGCGAATTACGCACATCAATGTATCGATCGTTACGGGTAATTTTATTAAAAGACATGGAAGCCAGCCCATTAAGGTTGATAAATAGCAGTGCAAAATGATTTCTACGAGTCGCTAAGGTGGTGACAACTTACATTCCTTTAAGTAGATTTCGCATATGCGCATATTATCTAGTAGATCAGGGAAGCCGGGGTTGGTGTTAGGCACAACTTCTTCGGAGAAGGGTATGCTTTCAAGTGTGATAAGCCCGGGTCTTGCGAATGCGTTAGCACGATATTGCATAAGAGAAGTCATGCCATACGGCCCACTGTGGTCAAGGTTAGGTATAATTCTGAAAAAGCATGAGAAATCACAGCATGTACCGGGATTACAGCATTTGGGGTCCATAAGGTTTGGACAATGGAATATTTGGTGCCGATCGCGGTCGGGACGCTGGTGCTCATGGTATAGACCGAGGGCGTGACCAAACTCGTGGGTTGCCTCGTTCGAATAACAACCTCTGCCGCAAAGGCCAGATGGCTGCTGAAGGTTCATATATAATTCTGAACTCGACGACCAACCGAGATTTGCATAGCAACCTGCACAGTCGATAGAAGTAATCATTAACTGACCAGCTACTGGTTCGTCGCAAACAGGGCGCTCCTCAAATTGGAGGAATGGATTCTTTTTTTTCCATCGCATCTTTGCTTCATCAACGTAAGCTTGGACTTTCCTTTTCACTGAAAGCGACTGGTAATAGTAGACTACCTTGGCGCCAGGCCATTTTTTGGGCGAATCGTGGAAGATGGAATGAACGCGCTTGTGAAGAGCATGGCGCTCTAATATTGTTGCTGTCACCCGGCGGCTCAGTAATAGCGCTTCGATGCCATAGACAATATCTCCGTCTACAATGGCAAGCTTACCCACAGTATAGTAAGAAACATTACGGTGGCGTCCTTGTAAATCTGAGATGTATACAGTCGTTAAATTGACGTTCGTGTTGTAAAGAGCAGAACTCGTGTTTTGATATTGCACCTGTGCAGTGACGGTGCAGAACAAGATGATAAAGACTAGGCCAAACAAAATAATCGGCAGTTTCATTAGGATCGTTGAGAACTGAAAGTGAAGACTTAAAGAAGGACCAAACGAGTCATCCTTTCTTTTATAGTACACACACATATTATTTGGAGTATCTATTTGGTAGAATATTGTTCGACTATGATTTTTCTTAGTATATGCAATTTCAGTCGTTTGCTGTATTCATAGATTTTTACATTTTCTAACTTTCATAAATTTTTTATAGAACTCATTTGTGCTTACACAAAAAATGCATTGATGCCCTATAAAAAAATGTTCACACGAAAAAAATTTGATTGTTGTTAGTGATAAACTGAATAAACTGGTTCAAACCGAGATCGTCTCGGTTTTATGCAGTATTTAGTTAGTGATAGTGATATATTCTTTGACATAAAGAATGATCAATTTAATTATTTTTGATTATATAAAAAATAATTTTTTGATAAATTTAGACTAACGAATATTTTATTTGTACTATAATCTCTAAGTTTGATGGTTTTATTGATCAAATAAATTTAAAAATGCTAATTATTCTTATTTTTTATTTGTGTCGTAATGGACGAAGATTTTGAGTTTGTTAGTTTCGAAAGACAAGAAAGTATTGAGCCAGATGAATCAATAAGTCAAATCTCTGCAACTATTATCGAATCTGATATAAGCATTCTTAATGCAAATAGTTCAACTGTCTGGCTGCATTTTATAAAAACACCTATGGGAACGCAATGCACAATATGTCACCAGCTATATAAACCTACTTCTGGTGTTTCAACACTTCGAAGTCATCTTAGAAAACATCAACTTGAAGTACCAACGAAAAAAAACAAAGCAATTTCAACAACAAAACAATCTAATCCCTTTAATTTATCTGAACAAATCGAACATAATAAATTTTTAATTACATGGATAATTTGTGATCTTCAACCATTTATGGTTGTTGAGAACATATATTTTCGCGCAATGTTATCTTATTTTTGTCCTCGTTATAAAATTCCCAATAGACACGAAGTTAAAGATATGACAATTGAGATATTTAATACTCGTCATGCTAAGATTAGCACTGATTTAGCAAGTATTCCAGGAAAAATAGCATTAACTGCTGATATGTGGACTTCGACAATTAACAGAGAAGCATTTCTAGGAATTACAATACATTATATAGATTTTTCATGGAATCTTTGCAATTTTCTTTTAGATATTATACCTTTTAAAATTAGTCATACAGGCGTCAATATAGCTAATACAATTATAGATATATTACAAGAACACAATTTATTAGAAAAAACCTTAGCAATAATAACTGATAATGCATCAGTAATGATTGTATGTGGACGAGAAATTGCAAAACAGATTGAAAATGATTTATCACAGTTGACTTTTGCTCACTATCGTTGTGCAGCTCATATTATGAACATTAGTATTCAACAAGGCTTAGAATTAACAAATGAATCAGTCAAAAAAATTTGAAGTATAATGGAAAATATTAAAAATTCAGTTAAAAAATCTGATAGTTTACGTCAATATTGTATTACTAATGGAGTTACCTATCTCAAGCCAATTTTGGATGTGAAAACACGATGGAACTCAACTTATTATATGTTGGAACGATTTATTACTTTAGAATCAGTTTTATTTCTTCTTGCCAAGGAATATAAATCAATTCAAGAAATTTATCCAAATGAAAATGAACTAAAAATAATTAAGGTAAGTATAATAAATATATTTTATTAAAAATATATTATTTAATTAATTTATTAATAAAATATTTTTATTTAGGATATGATTATTATATTAGAACCTTTTGAGCGTGCTACTAAGCATTTATCTGCTTCATCATATCCAACTTTAGCAGACGTTCGCTTTATATTTGAAGGAATTCAAGTATATTTGAATAATTTAATTGGACAAAATGAATTTACTCAAAGTGAATTTGCATCATTAATTCATCAAAAAATTGAAGAATATTGATCAATAATGAATGAATCCTCATTTATCTCAACTATCTTAGATCCAAGAACAAAATTATCAGTCTTTTCAGATAATATAATCAATGAGACAATTACTCAGATAACGCATATATACACTATTTATCAAACAAAACTTCTTCCTACAACAAATACCAACAATTCTTCT